GACACGGAGTCTTGGATTAGGTACTGGGAAATGGCACGAATTGTACTCTTGAGTTGCTGAGAGATTTCGGGCATAAAACCCCTGCCATTGCGTTGGTTGACAAAGTCCTCAAACATGGCTAGACCAAAGAAAAAGAATATGTCCGAGCTCGTAGACATAAACGCTGTGCATGATGCTATGGAAGGCTCAAAAGACAATGACGACAGGAGATAGGACCGTACACATGCATCCAGGAGGCTTCGAGCTATCCCCGCACTGGCCCGTCCTTGCGCTAATCCGTACCAACTCAGTCGATCTTTCTCTCGTGCGGAAGCTGATATGGAGTAGAAGAATAGATTGGACCTGACAAGGTCTTGACGGTTGTGAAATATCGGACATCAGGTCCGCTGGAGACTTGGAATAGCTTGATAATGTGCCTAGTATTACCAACGAATGTCCCTGTCCCTGTATGAAATAGGTAAATATACATTTGACGGTAACCTTCGGATAGTTACCGTATGGTATCGTTCCGGCTGAACCGTGACAGGAACTCGCTGAGTCAGCGTAATTATGCGCGAACCTCTCTCCTCATCTCGCCTCTTTTTTTGCGCGCCAGATTGAGCAATCTGCATCTCCCTGAAAGACTGTGGTCGGCTATTTTGAGTCTTTCTGCACCCGCTTTCTGACTGTGGGTGTCACTTTCAGTGGTAGGGGTGTTGTCAACAGCATGGAAAAGGCGTCGGAGCCGTCGCAAAGCCAACCCGCTCCTGAGGAGCCGGTCAAATCGATTGAAGATGATAGCAAGGGCGATAGTTATGCGACGGGCGGCATCACCGACGAGCAATGGAGGTCGATGATGGACGTTGTTCTGGCTATCTATGAATTCAGAGAAGAGGAGTAAGTCCGCATATGCTTTGCTTGCGACTTTCAAGCAGAACAACGCAGCAGAAAAAACAAAAGCCCCAATCTGGACGTCTCAACAGGTCGAGCTGTGTACGCGCCATTTAGATTAAGCTGACTTTCTGCCCGTTACAGTGGCCATGACCCGTCGAGGCTGTTTCAGCGCAGTGTGAATAAGCGCAATGTCCCTGATTATTATGAGATTATCAAAGAGCCCATGGCCCTTAGTATCTTGAAACAGAAGATAAACAAGCGAGAATACAAGAACTTCGCCGAGTTCGTGCGAGACTGCGCCCTGGTAAGTGTCGCAACTTTGTTGCCATTGTGGAACCAGTGATTATGGCTTTTACTCACGGTGTTACCTTCGCTTTAGATCCCTCACAATGCGCAGACGTATAATCGGCCAAATTCACAGGCGTATGAGGATGCGCTTGTCATAAAGGTTCGTACGTTCGTAAAGTTTTAATTCCATGTCCGTCGCCGGATGCACGCCTGCTGATCCTTGTTCTCCAAATTAGGACGTTTTCATAGCAGAATTTGAAAAACTGGTTAAACAAGGGATTATCACCGCTGAAGAAGCCGAGCTTCCCGATTTKGGAGAGATTCCGGAGGCGGATCCTCTTCCCGAGGAAGAGGATGAGGATGATGAGGACGATGAGGAGGAGGAGGACGAGGATGATTCCGATGATGATGGTCGTCGCAAGAAGAAGCGCGGTCCCCGCCCTGGCTGGAAACGGGACGCAGGGAAGGACGACGGGCATAAATCAGCCGACCCAGAGCTCAGAAAGAAGCGGGGCCGGCCCCCGCGTGTCGACACCCCTATGGAGGCCAGGATCAAGGCAGTTTTGAAGGGGATCCGGAAGCTCAAAGGGCCTCTTGGCATGCTCAAAGTGCGACACTTTGAACGCTTACCAGACAAAGCTACATATCCGGACTATTACGTTGAAATCAAGGAGCCGATTGCGATTGACATTATCAAGCGGAAGTCCAAGCGCAAGAAGTACAACTCGGTTGACCATTTCATGCGCGATATGGATCTGATGTTCAACAACGCCAAAGCCTACAACCAGCCGGACAGTCAGATATACAAAGACGCTGTCGATTTGCAAGTTGAGGCGAGGAGGCTTGCTGAGATTGAGAAGAGGAAACCTGACAGCGAATATCTGATGGAGGATGGCCGTCTCCCATTGCCTGATGGCATTCTGTACAAAGGTGAGCTCTGGAAAGTGGGTGACTGGGTTCATATACAGAATCCGAACGATGTGACCAAGCCGATCGTCGCACAGATCTACCGCACATGGCAGGATTCTGAAGGTGAAAAGTGGGTCAATGCTTGCTGGTACTACCGTCCTGAGCAGACAGTTCATCACTTTGAGAAACATTTCTATCCCAACGAAGTGGTCAAGACTGGCCAGTACCGTGATCATCGGATCGAAGAGGTTGTCGACCGCTGCTTCGTCATGTTCTTTACTCGGTACAACCGCGGACGCCCTAGAGGCCTTCCTCCTGACAAGGAAGTATACGTCTGTGAGGCACGCTATAACGAGGAGAAGCACAAGCTCAACAAGATTAAAACATGGGCGAGTTGCCTTCCCGATGAAGTGCGAGAAAAAGATTACGAGATGGACCTCTTTGATGTCCCTCGGAGAATCAAGAAGATACCGAGTCCGATCAAGCACTTGCTGAAGAGTGATGCGAAGGAAACTGACGATCTGCCCAAACCAACCTGGGGCGCCGATAATGCGCCGCCCATTGTTGGAGCGGTACATCGACGTCCACGCGATGAAAATGTGAGTATCTTAACTCCTAGTCTGTCGGGGAGTTTCGTCCGTAAACCCCTTTGAATTGTGGGATACTGACTGGAAACTTTTTTTTCGGCAGGAATCTCCGCCACCTGAGCCGACTCCTTCTCCGCCGCCGTCATTACCCCAGCCAGTTCTGTCAACTGTTCCTCCTCGTCTGCCATCGATTACCCAACCATCTACGCGGCCAAGCGTCGGTAGTCCCGGCACGGCGCCCGCAGTTGGGGCCGTCCCCGTCCCTGCGCGCTCTCCAGCTGCCCCAATTCCTCCTACCCAGGGCTCTCCTGTTCCTGTGCCTCCAGTTGCCTACCAACAGCCTCAAGTACCGCCAGTCCAGGTCTATCAACCGGCTCTGCAGAGGCGCCCTAGCGCGTTTGTACCGCAAACGCCTCACTCCCCTGCTTATCAACCTTCGCCGGTACCGCACCCGTATGCGGCGGCTCAGCCATCTCCATATACGCCATATCAGGCAGGTCGTGTGCACGTACCGCCAGCATCGGTGTATAATCCTAACGCGCCTCGTCCAATTGAGGTCTTCCGCCTCAGTGAGGCGGCAAATGCAGCAATTCCGGAGGATATTCGTGAACAGTTTCATTGCGACGACTCCGGCCATGTGCTTTTCTTCTCTGCTCCGCCACTCGATATCGTTCCATCACTTCAACAAAAACTAGGTCATTCCCTAAAATATTTGGCTGCTAAGGAGGAACGTCGGAAACTTGTTGAGCAGCGGAAACGGAAAGAAGATCTCGAGAGAGCCGAACGAGAGGAGCGAGTCAAACGCCTACGTGCCGATAAAGAGACAGATCTCGCAGTCCGTGTGGAGTCGTTGACCGCCAAAGCCGTTGATATCATGACGAGCCATGTCATGGTTGGCACGGAAAAGATCTACGAACATCTATACTCAGACCGAGCAGAGACAGCCAAGCAAGCAGATGCCGAGGCTCGCGCACGCAGGATCATGGCTGATCGTATCACTCGAGAGAAGACGGCGCAGATCCAGGCTTATTCCAGCAAAGCGACTGCTGTCAGCCTTAAAGGTAGTGCTATGTATATGGACGATATTGACCCCAGGATCTAGTGCCAGGGGTGGATTTACGTTCTCGGTCGCGTGTCATTGGTGCTGCCTCTCAAGATCTTTCCATGAGAATACAAGGCGACTGTGTTTTGTTTGAGCTTCGGCGTTATCACATTTTTACTTTGAAAGGCAATACCAATACTGGGGAAAAGGGAGGGCGCGTAATGTTCAGGAGTCTGGTATGGGCAGAGCGAGAATTACAACACTGTTTGTGTATACTAGTAGCATTAAGATACTGCAATGAAAGCTGAAAGTCCAGGTAATCCCTCCATCGGCCTGTGGGAGCAGACGTAGGACTAAGCATGCGCTTTATGGATGCCCGATTGTCTTCTGTTCGAGTCGGATATGTACACCAATCATTTGAGCCCGCACACCCAAGCAATTGTTCTTGCGGGAAAGCTTGGAGATGCTGCCTGAAATACAAACCACCCGAATTCTCCGTACATAGGAGCACCATGCGCTGACTGGAGAACAGGCAAGATATCGAGCGCGACCATGGGCAGCTCAATCCCAATATCGAAAATATGGGGTAGACAAAGGAGGCGGTAAGAAACAGGGGCGCTAGGGACCGTCATGGCCTCGTAAGATTGACCCGAGGACAAGAGATTGAAGGCAGAACAAGGAGGTTGTGGACTTGTGGTTGAGTCAAGACCGAACGATGTAGACCAAGAATGTACACATGACAACCTCCTGGATGATGGAGGTCGATTAACTGTCGACCCGATGGAGTTGGACCTGAGTCAAATTTCCCTTTCCTTCCTCCGCAGACCTTCGGAACGGCCGATAAAGATAGGACGCGAACCCAAACGAAACGACAAGAGAAAAGAGAAAAGAAAGGAAAGATTCTAAGAATGACAGCAGTCTCGGCAGTTCCCCCAACCGGGTTACAAAACACCCTGAATTAAAATGCCTGATTTGGTCCTAGACCAAGTGACCGACGTTGTGAAACAGGAAGAGTCAAATCCAGATAGTTCGCTCGACCGTTCTATGCAAAATTCCCATCAAGATGCGAAACATGATGACGAAACGACGAAAAAGCAACGCAATTAGGGCAAAATCCAAGGGCATCCTATAAGACCGTTATTTTCCTTTGAATGTCGAGGTATGAACACAATTTCAACTGGTGGTGCAAACTTTTTGCTTTTTAGTTTCCCGATTGTTCCTTTTTGCTCGCAAACTCCGCGCTTTAATGTTGTCATGGATGCATGTGCAGATTTGGTTCCAGATAATCATTTTCAACAACATCATGGCTGGAAACCTGAGTTGCTTGTGGGGGTCGATGCCCCATCGTTGGATTCCGCCTTATTGGTGGCCCAAGAAGTACTGCCCCGTTTGGTGCTATCTTCTTCCTCCATGGAGAAGACTAAATCACTCTGCTCCTCATCGATCTTGCTTGTGCTGACAGGCGACGAGATTGTCCGGTCCAGGCGGCCATTGGAGCCGACTGCGGAGGAGTGACGGGCCGGAGCAGGGTAAAGAGACATGCTACTCAGCTGCTGAGAGATCATGGATGTCGATGACTGCCTGCCAGGGCTGGCCACATATGGGGAGACATCGCCGGAGATCTGTCGGCTTCCGATGGGTCCTAAGCTGGGACTGGTACCTAGATTGAGGGAGGACTCGCGAAGAGGCGAGCCGATGTGCGAAAAGGATGTACCATGGGAGTCTTCATCCTTCTTCTGCTGGCGTTGCTTGGCAAATAAGGCACCAAATCGTGACGGACTAGATGCGAGCGGAGAGCCGATCTTGGAGAAGCTGGTGCTGGTCATACCGAGTCCGCTTAAATCGCGGTGGCTGGAACTGAGATCATGATCAGTGCGCGACAGGCGTCGGAGTTTCTCCTGAGGGGTGAGGACATCATCGTGCAAATTGATGGGCAGATAATCCTCCTCCATGGGGAAGTTGCTGTCGTCCCAGTCATCCAACGCTGTGGGTCGGGGAACACTAGCCGAAAGCATGCGCGACTTCACTGGCCTAGCAGAGTGTAAAAATCTCGGTCCTACCCCATCTTCGGGAATGCCTGGAGGGGATGACCCCATGAACGACGAGGGTTTCCTGAAGTCAGACCCATACGCTGTGTCACGGAGATTACGAAGTACATCTGACGGACCACCCACTCTCTGCGCTGGAGGAGAGGCCAGATCCAACCCAAACTTCGATGGCACGGACGCGGCCACGGGGCCATAACGAGCGGCGTGCGAAATGCCTTGACTGTCAAACGATGCGGGGAGCTGTGCGTCAAGAGCAGTTAGGTGACGGTGATTCGGAGACATAGGGAAACGCGTGTCGTCCGCTGGCGACCCATACTTCGAACCCGCATCCGAGGCTAAACCAGCGTCGATGGTAGGAATGGCGTCGAATGGCGGTGGGGGTGGCTGCTGCTGCTGCTGCTGTTGTAGAGCACCGAACTCCTCTTGAGGCGGCAATTGCGAAGCGTAACGAGGATCATGATTGCCCAAGCGCTGCTGGGAGAGGACTGAGTTTGTCAAGGCCGAATCTTGATTGACATATGCTTGAGGGTTGACGCGTCCTCCAAGATTGAGATGGCCTCCACCCATTCCCATACCGGGACTTGGCCGATTGACCCGCCGACCATCAGGAAGGATATGCGCCAGCGCGCACTTGGCTCCGAACTTGCAATTGCCCTAATTGTGCGGAGAATAAACCAGTCAACTGCATGCTCTCGAAATCGAGGATGAGGAAGGAAGGAATTTGCTTGTATCGGCCGCTACGAGAGGGGGGAATAGGAACAAGATGGATCTGGTTACAGGTCGTACCTTGGTGAAATATTTGCAAGGCGCATAGTCAATCGCGGCGTCTGTGGAGTGTAGGAAAGGGCAAGCAGGGCCGGCCTGGCAAGCTCCCTGGCGAAAGAATTTGCAGGGCACATGCTTGGTATCTAGAGAAGATAGCGACTGAAGTTAGTTTTATCTCTTTCTTTCACCAAAAAGAGAAGTGAGGAGCGGAGCAAAAGCGGTCATGGAAAGCGACAATCCTGCAAGTAACCGGAGTGCGATCGGAGAACAGGAACCGTATATGATTGAGGGGTGACAGAGAAGAGTCCTGGACTGCGACTTACTGCTCTGGTTGGGAGGACTGCGGGCAGCCATGTCGAAGCCGGAGGGATTGCGGGAATGGCCGTTCTGCACCGAGGGGGCTTCGGAGGGGACAGGAAGAGGAGTACGATTTTTCATCTCACGKAGGAGAGATGGCGGATTTCGAGGACGAGAGCACCGGAAAGAAAGACTCCAAAAATATGATAATCAATCTGTAAACTTTTGTGAGAATGAGAAAGAGAGTGTGAGTGAGTGAGCGAGGACACTCCCTTTGGCTGCGATGAGGCAGAACGGAAGGCAAGTCAAAACCGTTGGAAAATCCGGAGGGGTTGTTTTAGTCAGTAAGTAGTACCTTGTATCTATGTATCTACCTTAGCGGTCGTTATCGTATAGATAGATACTGGGCACGGGGAGATTTCCACAGGTGGGGGAGTCATAAATATTACTTACATACTCTGTCGGTACTGGGTGGTATTCGAGACCATTATATTATATTATTATATTGATGTTGTCAATGAGATAGGTCAATTCGAGGATATTTCAGCATTAATATGTGTATGATATTCATGGTATTTTCATGATGCTCATCAGATAGCTGATGCTCTTCATTCCTCATATCAGTTAACCCACCCCCATGACTGTCTACCATATGAAGAGGAGAAGGAAGGGATTTGCGCTGCACATGATATGGAGTGATAGTAGCTATGATCATGGTAATATCTAGTTTGTACCATCTACGAATGATCATCCTGAATGGCGTCATGTTCGCCTTCGATGGTCTTTCTCCTGACCCAGTCTCGTGAACCATTAGATAAGTATTGGTTTACATATGTATAATCTCACCCTTTCCCTCTCCGGTGACTCAATATAGCCCAACTTCCATATCATCTGATACCTTTCATAAGCCTCGATTTTCGTTCCTCATACTCGACTCTCAATAAAAACAGGATCTGTCCCCTCTCCGCGTGTCAATCCACTCATAATAACGGTCCTGCCGCACGCCGCAGGATTTAACATAGGTACTAGGTATAACAAGTATCCGAAGAAGCTGTAAGATTCAGTGTACAGGAGACGGTTCTTCAAAGGACAATTGGAGCGGCCATTGCGCGATGAGACTATTCATCCGCAAGGATCACGGTACCTCACAGTCTCTACCTCCCTCTAATCAGATACAACGTAGCATTTCAACGAAGAAAGGATCCTTCAAGGCCCAGAGATTCCTGATGGACAAAGTCAGCCGAGACTGCTGCAGATCGTCGCCGTAATACTCAAGAGAGGGTGTACTTACCCAAAGCTCTTCTCGACTCACATTGTCCGGTACAACCTCCAAGCATCTACTCCATAGATCCCGACAGATCGTCTTACGGACGCTAGCGATCTTATTCCAGCGTTTCCATTCCTTTCCCAACTTTGCTCTCTCCTCCGGACACATCTGGATTGAATCTCTTTTCTGAATCTTCTCGAGACGAGATGAAACCTCTTGTGTTTCTTGCTCAAGTCGGCCGACATCGTATCGAAGCTCACAGAGCAATGGCTTCGTGGAGAGCGTTGCTAAATCCGCGCGCGCTTTCTTTTCCTTGGTTTTGAGTGTTGTTAACTGTTCTTCCAGCTGCTTGATCTTTTCATCCATCGTCGCCATGGTCTCCGTCCTGAGATCGTCGGACGCGTCTTGAAGGGCATGATAAACGATGTGTTTTCCTAAATCCCAGGCAGAGCTTAGTTAGTCTTCAAGGCCCTTTGCTTGCAAGGGATAGTGCTGAGCACCTGAGATCCGGGCGTCAATCTCCTTCTTCCGGTGTAGTTCTCGCAACACCTTTGCTGCGTGCGCTGTAGGACCGATATCAGTCTAATTCTCCAGACGACCCGCCTGAAGTGAAACGACTGTACTGACTTTTGGAGACCTTGTTATGCAAATTCGTGGAAACATCGATGGCCTGAGATGCTAAAACATTAGAGTCATTACCCGCCAGGCGCTCATCATCAAGAGGACGAACCGAATACGGACGACTGGTTTTGAACGTTTAACAGCATTTCAAGATACTAAATTGCTAGCATACAATACTTAGACCTACTTTTGTTTCCCTAGAAGACCAGTCAGCAGTCAGAGTCGACATTGCAACTGAAAAGAGCCTTGCGAATCAACATGACACTCACGAAGGTAATCTAGGATCAATGATGTTTCGTCATTGGCAGCTAGGTATGCAGAGTAAGCGGGACGCATAGGGTGGTCTTGAAGCAAATCTTGCTGGCTCACCTACAACCGACATGTCGGCCCCTTTCGCCTTCTTCTGTGTCATGGCGACAGAGGTCAAGCGGTCAATTTACTACCAGCGAAGGTGGAGACTATGGAAGAGAAGAGCGAGGGGAACCGGGACGTGGTTGTTCTGACTGAAATTCATCACTGTACAGGGTATAAACCAGCAATCACAGAAGAGCCACCGTCATCACGTGGAAAATGCTATCCATCAACTCTTAGATATACATACAAATCTTGTTCCAGAGTTACAGAACAAGTATTGACCCTGGGAAATAGAGCAGCAGCAACTGGGAAAAAATAAATCCCAGAAAAACGAGTAGGAGACAAGAACGCTGAACCAAGACAAGATCTTCCAGTTTATTCGAATGGAATGGAGGGCTGCCACAAATACAAAACATGGGAAGATAGGGTAAAATCATTCCGAAAACCCCTGATGGGGAAAATGCTTTTTTCGAAGAGGTCAAGAAAGTATTGAATTGGGTGCAAAGAGAGGCTGAAACAAACAATCGGTGAAGGCCATTCACTACATCAGGGCCTCTCCTACGCCGCCTTTATTCGCTCCCGTTGGGGCAATAGCTGTATCAAATGGTATTCTCCCGTGAAGACATAAGATAGAAAATCGTTGCGTAGAATCATTCGGCAAGGGTATCACATGATGACCTAAGGCAGATGTTAGCCTCGCAGATTCGATGCAACTGATCCGGGAAATAATCAAAGACTTACGCAATCACTGTCTTTCTGGGCGGCAGGAACTCCCATTTCTTCGAATGTCTTCGGACCCTTGCCGGGTAGACCCCCTGCAGAGGGTTTGGAAGGTTGTGTTGTAGGCTTTTGGCTTGCTGCGCTTGCGGGAGTTCCGGAGGGTTTGGGAGTCGACGTTCTTGACGACTGAGGGAATGACGCAGCAGAAGGTGAGGCTTGTGGCCGTGGCGATCCCATAGAGCTACCCTGCGAGTGAGGGGAGACAGCAGTTCGGGCAGGCTTCCGGTCCGGGGGTACACCATCGAGCCGTTGAGGTCGTCTTCGAGCATCAGCACTGGGAGGCTGATCAAGTGGCGCTGAGTAACCGATATCGAGTTTGGGTGTAGCCGATGGGCTATGCACACCTGTCGGGCTCATCGGTCCAACCGATGGCGGCGCCCCCGGCCCCGGGTTACGGTAATTCTGAGGACCTGGGCCGTAAGACGCGGCCCGGTTGTAGTTGGGCGCATTTGCGCGGATATTGGGGTTGATCCCAAAAGCCGAGCTGGGACGCGGGTCGGCCATTGAGTAGCCCTGTGGATGAACGGGCCGGGAACGGGACCCTGATCTGTCGGGGTAAGGCGCGGCGGAGTGTCCGGTGTCTGCGAGACTCATCCTGGATGGATCGGGCATTTCGAGGTTCTCTTGCGTTGATTCTAGAGAAGTCTCACGCTGGTGGGACCCGTAGCGCGACTTGATGCGGGCGATCGCGACATTCTCGTGATCCTTCCGCGACAGTGTCTTTGACCGCGAGATGCTGTCGATCCGACCTGTGGCATCTTTATTCCCATTCGCTGCAGCCTTGGCGTACCAGCTTCTGGCTTCCTTGAGGTCGACATCGACGTAAATACCAACCTCGTAGAAGTATCCTAGCGCAAATTCAGCCGTCGGGAATCCGCTGAGCGCAGCACGATGAGCAAATTTGAAGGCCAACTCGTCGTTCTTCTCGAAAACGCCCTCATGACCGCAGAGAAACCATTTGCTAATCGCCATCTCCGCTTCCGGCTCCCCTTGACGCGCAGCCAGCGCGTTATAATGTAAAGATAGCGCAGGGTTGAAGTCGCAGCCGAGTTGACCAAGTTCATAAGCGGCACCCATCTTAACCTGAGCTTTGGCAAATCCGTGATAGGCTGCCTTTTCAATGTTGACACGAGCAGCGTTAAGATCCAGGGGAAGGTAGCTCTCAGGTACATTGACCTGCGGGAGTTCCCGCGCCAAGAGCATACCATAAACCTGTCGAACGTCATGTCAGACCCCAAAGCGTTGAGACCGTGAATGAGTGGAGCGTCACGTACATAGGCACCCTGCGGCGCATTCTCGTCGCAAGATTGTGCAGCAAGGCTGATATAATCCAAGCCCATCTGGTAATCCTGCCGCTGACCATGCTGACCGAGGAGGATCATCATGCCCAAACGCTGCCGGCCGCGGCATTAGCAAGGAGCTCATTGTGACGGAAAAGTTGTTCTGAACATACATAGTAAGAAGCGGAGTCAGCAAGGGCGACTCCCTTTTCGTAGTGTTTGATAGCCTTCTCGGGTTCTCCGGAACTTTCAAACTGCATTCCGATACGATACTCCGCCCGAGCATATCCTCTGTCCGCAGCTCTCGTATAGGCGCGAAAAGCTGCCTTCTTGTCCACGCGATGTCCGAATTTGCCAAACTCTAGCCACATGCCTCTGATGAAATCGGCCTTGGGGTGGTATTGATCCGCCAAGAAGTTCACAATGTTCATCGCATCGAGCTTCAACTGACGCTCCACAGGAGGAGTCTGCGGCCTGGGAGGTTGAATCAAGGAGAGACGAGCCTCGTTTTGCACCGCGACCTCAACGTAGGCGAGAGCGTCCTGAGCCCATGCCAACTGCATCTCCGGGTCGTTGGACGACAAAACAGCGATTCGAGCTCTCTCCAAGCTGGCTTCTCTTTGCTCGTCAGTAGGCGGTACATTTGGCGGCGGATTTCTCAGGACAGGAAAAGGAGAAACGGTAGAAAACCCCATGTCGTAGACCGCGGAGTGCTCATGATGGGCGACATCATAACCCGCGCCAGGTGGCGGTTGTCCCTGCGCGACCGCGACGGATGAAGACCGCTCAGGGAAACGTGAGCGATCATGCTGGACTGGAGCATGTTGGCCGTGGTGGGGGGTCCGCGCTTCGTGCTCGAGGTGGGCTATATTGTCCTGCATGTTTTCTGGAACTTCCGGCATGACCCTGTTGAAATCGAGTGCATCAGGTCAGCAACGCGTATCACCAGTGTTGTTAGACGCTACCAATCGGGTGGGGGAAGTCCCCTGAAATATGCAATTTGCAATCGCACCTTTGAGGAGAGGGGGATATGACTTCTGGCATGTAAAAGTCATCCTGGCCCCCTGGATACCATGTAGCACCAAGACGTGGCTGACCACGGCCTTGCGGAGGTCTATTCATCGTCCAGATAATAGCCCCTGCTCCTTTGTTTTCCTTTTCTTCACTCTTTTCCAGGCGTTGCCGAAAACAGTACGGATCAGATCTGACTGGGAAACACGACTTTTAGGCGCTCCTTAATTCTTTCCTCCCTTCCAATCAAAGGCTCATGGATTAAAAAAAGAACACAAGAGGAAATAAAGTCGAGGGAGATCAGTCAGACTACACGGAACGCGCAGGGTAAAGTGTAGAGATCAAGCGCATCATCCGAAAAGCCGGGAAAACAAATCTCATACCATAAGACCACGACAGGCCTTCTAACAATGAGTGGCGGGAAATAACTAGAAGCAGGGAAACGATAGGACCATAGTAAGGATGATATTGAGCGCAAAAGAAGAAATGCCCCCGGATGAAACTGGAGTAATCTGTAGATAGACCCCCAAAGGCCAGTTATGAGAAGCGGGGTCCGTGGGAGTGGATGCGGAATTTGACTAGGTAAGGTAGCTGCCTATGAAAGTAAATGCCCTACCAAGCCACTATTAAGTGCTAACGTAGGTACAGCGACTAGGCTGCTACAAATACTTTTGAGTAGATAGTTACTCCTATATAGAACTAACAAGGCGGACAGTTGTTAGGAGTAAGGTAGGGGCAGCAGTCAAAGAAAGGTCTTGAAGGTGATAAAGACAGAAGTGTCTTACAGGATGGGTTGATGACAATACCCAAACAATTCTATCATCCTGCCTAAGAATACAGACAAGTATCGTGTCGTTGTCAAAGAGAAGGAGATTTCCCTTCTTTAATCAGATTACCCTCCAACATTCCTTTCAAGGTATGCCTAATCCAATTGAGGTATTCAGAGACAATCGCCTTAAGGGCAGATTTCGGAATAAGATTGAACAAATGAGCTCTGGGGGGCCCAAGAGTTATTGTTATTACTATTAAACTACCTAGATAGGGGAGAAGTTATTAAACAAGGTGAAAGACTTGAGAGTATGCGCAGTTATTTACGAAGCAGTGTGGCTTTGACCTGGATAAGGTGATACCTCTCTCCGTACTCCCTAGGTACCTATAACATGACTCAGGTAACTTACAAGTTATGTCATCTTGCTCCCTGGGCTCACACCAAATTATAACAGGCTACATTGTATGTGCTTCTATTGAGTTCACGTTGATGTTAAACGGCTCAAAAGTGAATGGTCTCTGATCTAGTTTGATGGGGCTTCCTTTATACCGGAGCTACCGTCTATCAGCAATTTAAGTTGCCCTCTAGGTACTCCGTACCTACTAGTACTTCAGGTTCAGTCGATAATAATTACCTCCTCTATTCGGCTGCAGTGGGACTGCGGAACAAATTTATTTTGAACTGCCTCAGTTCGGCTCATCTTTTCAGCTAGTATTAGACGCTCGTTCATTCACAATATCAAGTTTCCTACAGCAACTTCCAGAGTTTATTACCAGTATTCTTACAGCTTTGTTCCTAGAATTGTCCGTTGTTGGTCACCACACTGCTCACAGACAGCTCCTTTGCCCAAATAAGGTAAGCCAAATAGGTCTACCGAGAACCTGATTGGTCAATGGAATTATTCTAAGTCCCATTCAGTCTGTCAAGGTTCTAAGATCAGGTACTCTGCCAGCCAAGATACCTTATTGCTTTGTGTCCAAGGAACGTTGTAGTTACCAACAACCTACTTTAGGCGATTACCTCTTACTTCTTGTTCCGCGTCCCCGTCAAACATCCGCTGAAACTGAGGTCCTTCATTGAAACATGTGGTGCAGAGTCTGACGGCGTCAGTGCCCTCGTAAATTAGTGTACTAAAGCCAAGCTGGTGAACCGTGTAACTGGAGGTATCTTGAGCACTATGGGGTCTCAATCACAGAATTTCAACCATCCTTACTCCCC